AGACAGTCCCCAAGCAAAACTAATGCGATGGTACTATAAATAGTCAAGAGTAGATGGATTCCAGGATATATAAGGAACTCAAAAATCCTAACACCAACAAGAAAAAAAAACCCCAATCAATAAATGGGACGAGGAACTAAACAGACACTTCACAGAATAAGAAATACAATCAGTCAACAAATATATAAAAACATGTTCAACATCTCTAGCAATTAGAGAAATACAAATTAAAATTACATTGAGATTTCATCTCACTCCAGTCAGAATGGTAATTATCAAGAATACAAGCAACAATAAATGTTGGAAAGGTTGAGGGGAAAAACATACACTCATACACTGCTGGTGGGACTGCAAATTTGTTCTACTATGGAAAGCAGTATGGAGATTCCTCAGAAAACTTGGAATGGAAGCACTATTTGGCCCAGTTATCCCATTCCTTGGTTTATACCCAAAGGACTTAAAATCAGCATACTACAGTAACGCAACCATCGATGTTCATAGCAGCTCAATTCACAAAAGTTATGGAACCAACCCAGGTGCCCTTCAACAGATGAATGGATAAAGAAATGTGGTACATATATATAAGGGAATATTACTCAGTCATAAGGAAGAATGAAACTATGGCATTTTCTGGTAAGTGGACAGAGCTAGAGAATATCATGCTAAGCAAAATAAGCCCATCCCAAAGAACCAAAAGCCGAAGTTTTCTCTGATATGTGGATGCTAATTCATAATAAGGAGGGTGAAGATAGGGAACAATAGAGGTACTTTGGATTAAAAGGGAATAAAGGTAGGAGAGGGGGTATAGGGATAGGAAGGATAGTACAATGAATCAAACATTATTACCCTATGTGTATATATGATTACATGACCGGTGTGATTCTATATCACGTACAACTACAAGAATGACAAGTTATACTATATTTATGTATGATATATCAAAATGCATTCTACTGTCATGTATAATTATAAGAAATAAAAAAAGAGTAGATGGGTTAATTTCCGTTGTTTCTCATTCATTCAGTCTTTCATTAGTTCATTTTTGTGGTGCTACAAATCAAACCCAGGACCTCACTAATGCTAGGCTAGTACTCTACCACTAAACCATACCTCTAGCCCTCCGTGCTTTAAATAAACTTTTTCAGAACAAATTTTAGATTTATAGAAAATTCACTGTATTTAATTTTTTCTCTGCACTAGACTACAACATATTACAATTGTATCTCCTCAGGCTTCCTTTAGCTCTGACAGTTATTCAGACTTTCCTCGTTTTTGATGACTCTGAGAAGTGTGAGGAGTAATAACCGGGTCTTTTCCTTAGAATGTTCCTCAGCTGGAATTTGATAGCTTTTTGATTACACTGGGGGTCTGGGTTCTTGGGAGGAAGGTCACATAAAGTGCCTATTTATCATAACAAGGTACATACTACCCATATGATTTATCACTTTTGATGTTGACCTTGATCACATGACTGAAGCACTGTTTGTCAGGTGTCTCAACTATAAAGCTACTTTCATCCCTATTCCTATACCATGCTCTTGACAGGAAGTCATTTTGCCCAGCCCACAATGATGGAATGGGAAGTTATGTTCCACCTCCTTGAGAGTGGAGTGTCAACAGAAATTATTTAAAATTTTTCTACACTGGAGATTTGGGGTACATTAGTTTCTGTCTCCATTAAGAGACCTTTAATAGTCTGTCCTGTTAAGTAATTGAAGTTCTACTGTGAACAACCTGCAGCTCGCTTTTTTAATATTTCATTTTTAGTTGTAGTTGGACACAATATATATTGTATACTGTCCCCTCATCTTAATTAGAAATTGATGACAGCACAAAAAATAAACAAAAACAAATAATACAGAACCTAAAAAAAAAAAAAAACAGCTTATCTTTGGACCCATCTTGCAAACTGAGCTAAGAGAAAGGGAAGCAAAACAGCCCCTGGTTCCCTAACCCTTATGTAATGTCAGCAGTTCAGAGCAACCTGCCTCCTTTCTTTCCATAGGTCAGGCATTTTGGGAACACACAATATGTGTGTATGAAGAAGGTCAGGGGCTGGGGTTGTGGCTCAGCGGTAGAGCACTCAACATAGCACGTGCGGGGCACTGGGTTCAATCCTCAGCACCACATAAAAATACAAGTATTGTGTCCAACTACAACTAAAAAAACAAAATATTAAAAAAAGGGCGGGGGGGCTGGGGATGTGGCTCAAGCGGTAGCACGCTCGCCTGGCATGCGTGCAGCCCGGGTTCAATCCTCAGCACCACATACAAAGATGTTGTGTCCACCGAGAACTAAAAAATAAATATTAAAAAATAATTCTCTCTCTTTTAAAAAAAAAAAAAAGAAGGCAACTGCAGGTTGTTCACCGTAGAACTTCAGTTACTTAACAGGACAGACTATTATGCTGCAAGCTTAGGTCYACAAAATTACTGGGATAAAGGTATTACTAGCTCAATAAATCAATGATCTTATTAAGCCAACAGACTCTCACCTGTGGAGTGGAATATATGAGATTTGATAATAGTTTTCTTAATGCTCACTCTTCTTTATTTCCCAATTGGATGTTTTCCAAAAGGTTAAGGACATGGATGTTTTAAAGATAAGATCTTACTACCAGTTAAGCAGGCATTTGTGAATAGTGCCAAAGAAGCATTAAGTTCCGGAACAACTAACAGTGGTGCCTAGCATAATCCCTGGCACATGGTAGTATTCAAACGTTTGCTGAATGATGAACAAATGAGTTCTAAGAAGTAGAGAGGACAAGCAGCTGTCTACATTGGTATGTAGCATTCAAATGGCACTGGGTCAATTTTTAGGGCTTGCCATGCTGTCTCTAAAGTCTTTCTTCAAATACAGGCAACATTTACAAAAACAAAACAAAACAAACACAACAGCAACTAAATTGTGAAAGCCTTACAAATTATTATTACTTAATGTAAAAACACATTAGAATAGTACTGTGGCACACATTAGGTGTTCAACAAATGCTTGCTAAGTTAATGAACAATTTCTCGAATAATAGGTAAAGCAGGTTAGTCCAGAATTTACAAAGGAATTTATTAGGAAAGTTGAACAATCACAAATAGTTCTTTTAGCTCTTCTAAAAGCAGGTTTCTATAAAACTAGAATGCATTTCATTCAAAAAAGTACACTCTGCATACCTAGTATGTGAAGCTCAAATTTTGTTGGATAGAACAAATGAAAAAGCAAGCAAATGAACACTCATCTTTCTGAATATGCTACAACAAGGACATTAGTAACATATTATACTTCTGGTTGACTGTTAAGTCCCAAGAAAGTAATTCTCAAATTCATTTCATTACTACGGATGAGCAGCTGCATGGCATAAAGTGAAGAGCTCCCAGACTGAAGCCAAACTACCTGAGCTCAAATTCTAGTTCTCATCAGAATGGCTAAAGACTCGAGCAGATTATTTAATTTCTATGACCCCATTTCTTCACCTGTAAAATATTAGAAGAATCATAAAACATCCCTCCATAGAGTTGTTATGGAAATTAAATGAATTAATATATATAAAAAATTAGAGTACCTGGCACATAATATATGTTTGCTTAAAAATAATACTTTCACTGCTATGAAATAGCAAAAATGGGATTCTCTAGGAGCCCCCAAAATTAACCTACTATACACATTGAGGCCTATCATCTCATAATATGTGTAAAATTATTTCAACATCAAGGAAAGCCAGTTCTTTAAAATTGCCAGATATTTACAGAAGCATTTTCCTTATGTCACTATTTTAAAACAGCCATGCAAAATAATTAAACTGTTAGGGTATTAAGTGCTAAAGACAAAAAGAATGTCAAGGACATATTTCCCTTTCAGGAGAATGAGCTTTGTGACAATTCTTAATATGTAAAAGAATGTAATTAAGAACCAGGTATGACTAATTTTTCTTGGGCATTTTTAGGCTTGTGAGATTTTAAAGTATATCTCCATAGGTTTACTGGATTTGATGTTTTGATATAGTTTTTGCTTTTGATTAAAAATAAGCTTCTGTGTTAAAATTTATTGGTACTATGCTATTATAATTTAAAACAGAAGTTTGTTGGGTTTTTTTTTTTTGAGACATACAATATACCAAATATACCAAAGTTATAGACAAGTTCATATGTATTATGATAAAACATGCAATGATCCTACCTAAGTGTTATTTCAGAAAATTAAGTAACCATCACACTGTAAAAGGAGGGGGGGAAAAAATCTTCACATTTGAATATAAAACAGAATTTAATTCATAATAAACTGCTTTTTAACACTTCCATATGTATATTTAGTTTCAATATAAAAATATTACTCGAAAGCTGCCTGGGCCATTTTTCACTAAACACTACCAACAGTTACCTAAAATTAGTTGACACTGTACTCAAAATTTTAAATAGCATTTCCAAGATTTCACTTATGTACTACTCTCACTTAATGATCTCTACCATCAATATACAGACTCTGCTTACCATTTCCACATATTTCCCATTCAAATATTATTCAATAAATTTAAAAAGCATGTACAGAAGAAAACTCTAAAAAAAATCCCTTCAGGCCTCCAGCCAATATAAAATGTTACCATCCATAACATTTTTACAAAGAAAATTTAGGTTAGAAAATGTATTTTGGCAGCAGAGGGATTTTCTGTCTAAAGACTGTCTTGCTAGTAGCCAGGGTAATTTTTTTCCTTTTTGCTCTGCAGTGCTTCTAAGTATAGTGACAGCCGCATGAGGCTTTCCTAGCCTCAGCGCAAGCTCAGTAAAAATCTGGGAAATGCAAGTGGAAACATGAGAGACCGCTTTATTTGGCAGTACTTTAAAAAAAAAAAAAAAAAAAGGGCAGGACAAATGGCAAAGCAGTGTTTGGACTGCAGGATGAACAATCAATAGGCAGAAAGCAAGATAGAGGCTTCCTCAGCTTTTGGATCGACAATCGACAGCTGAGAGACTATTTTTTGCTATGGTTGACTAAATATGGTCAGGGAAGAGAGAGGCACAGGGGAGCCTGTTTGCCTGGAGTGCATGTTTCAAATGCTTAGCTGCCTATAAAGCTGTAACAGTTTAGCCTGTGGTCACTGAGGGAAGAATATAAGTTAGCCTCTGTAGTGACCATGTGGAAGTCCTGACCTCGCTTGCAGACTTGACCTCTGGATATGACAAGGTAGYTTCACTACAGATCTACCATTTAATCCTGGAAAATCAAAACCAAAAATAATCTCAAAGCAAGAAAGATGCAGAATACTTCCTGAGGAGTCAGAAGAACCCAATGTACTCTGGTGGGCAAAGGAAAACAGGATGAATGTTTATAGTTACTTGGGGGGAGTGAGGTGTGCTTCGGTTTGGGGTTTTTTTGTATTTTTATATTATAAAATTAACTTCCTTTGCAAGTTTTTCCCCATTCTGAAGCATTTCATCTAACAAATAAACTAAGTACATTTTCTTGGCCATTGTAGCAAAAAATTTCCTTGGTTACTTAACTTTCTCTATATATCTGTGTAATAAGTAGTATATAACATTCCAAAGCAAATGGCCAACATAGATTCAATTTTATTTTAGCTTTTGTCTTTTAAGGGGAAGGAGAAAAGTAAGTTATATGCTGTTTATTCATTTGTTTTCAAATTTATCTTAAAAGGTGACGTTCTCTGTTCACTGATACAATCCCCTTACTTCATCCGGCTCATAAAAAGAAGTGCTGAATCAGCAAATAGAGTGAAGGAACAATCAAGATGAGATGGCTGCAGCTGATGTGACTCTCTAGGTCATTACCTCTCTTCTTGCTGCAAATGCTGCATGACAGTAAGCTTCCAGGTAAAACAATACAAGGCCTGTACTTTTAAGGACATTTATGACTTTCTGCATGTTTACCTATCATTGACTGGATATATGCCTTTATTATTAAAGGCTATCTGGGCACAGCTAATTTCACAGTTCAAATTGAGAGATTAGGTAGTGTGAAAAGAAATGTTGTATAAATATCACAGCAAATAACTCTTAATCTCAAAAATGCGCAATATTAAAAGAATGGCTATCTCTATTGCCTAAATTATTAAAGATTTAGCCTTTATTGTTTCAGGATAAATGATGGTTTTAAATGAAGTAACTCTGCATGCATCCGTATTTCCAAGGTATGCTATCTTTTAAAAACTAGTGTCTATTTAAAATTTAGTCAACCAAGAAACTTAGCAGTTTACAAAATATTTTTTAATACTTACTATTAATTGGCCACAAAAATAAATCAGAAAGTGCATGGTGTAATTCTAATGCTGCAATGCTGATTGCTGTAGTTCTGGGCTATCTATTGCTGTTCGGATTTGCTCCCTATGAGCTGCACTAGTTTTCTATCACAGGCTGCAGAAATCCTACCATCCCTGTCCTCCCTCCTCCTTTGCCAAATCTAATTTTTTTTGAGGTTTTTCTTCTAAATTAACATTTGAATGTAATTAATAATTAAAGGCTACTTACCAACTTTATAATTTTTTCTCATGCGAAATGATCAAGCACCTAAAACCCAGGTATTCAGAAGTTAAAGCCTTTCAGTTCTTTTATGKAAGACTTTGAAAAAGTTAACTGTTTTGGTAGTTTCCTTTCTACTGAAAAGAATAAACTCAACAAAATTAGACACTTATACAATTATCTGAATTTGTATTCCACCCAAACAAAAGCATAGAAGCACAGAATTCTGGTTAAAAAAAAAAACTAACAAAGAAATGACAAAGAAGTTTTCAAAAGAGTAAAAGTTCTCATCTACCACCTTAAAAAAACTAAAAAAAAAAAAAATTCACCATTTTTAAAGGTTCACTTCACACACATGCTCAGAAGACCTGGTTTTTCTCCTTGTTTCAATTGTTGAGTCAATTCTAGAAGTGCTAATTGGTTAATTAGTTAAGTTTTTAAATAAGGTATCTGGTTTTAAAAAGAATGAGCCAAATTAATTACTATCTACTTCCAGGATCTAGAAGCAAATTATCAAAAAAAAGAAAGAAAGAAAGAAAGAAAGAAGAAGAAGAAGAAGAAACTCTCTGAAGTCTATAAAGAAGAAAGATTAGGCTGATCTTACCAACTTCTGAAATACACTATAAAACTCCACAGATTTTATCAATGTCTTGCAAAAAAAGAACCAAACCAGAAAAAAATTCAACAGCTAACTGCTCAAAATGTTTAGAAATGTTTATATCCATCAAGAACAAGGAACCACAAGTGGCATTAATGACATGATCAGGTAAATTTGTTATAAAGTTTAGTCTTTGATAAGTTAATGCCTGCAAATAATCTACCACTGTAATACATGAATAAGCTCAATGTTTTACTAACAAAAGGAAAAATAAGATATTTTGTGTTTTTACAGCTAACAACTTAGTAATACCTACTCAGAGCACATACTTCTTTATGTACCCATATGAACATACAATGCTATGGAATGTAAAGAAGTATGTATTTTTGGTAGGTAATAAGCCACCAAGAGAGAACTGAATGCTAAAAGAAGCCCTGGCTTCTTTCTACATGAATGACCTTCATATGGTAAATTAACCTATTTTCAAGTAGATGACCTTTAGCGATATTAACACCAAAGAAAAAATACCTACTACTTATAGATGGAAACTAAACATCCCTATGATTTATACTTTGTAAAGTAAAAGTTCTACTGAAGTAGAATTCAAATTATAATGAAACTCATTTTTAAACATTAAAGTTTAAAACAGTACATTTTACATTTTTTGAGTACTCACATGATTTAAATGACCATAACAGGAAAAACAGATTACTAGCACAAAAGACTAAGAAATAAACATGATCTATTTTCTGCCTCCACAATTTGATTTTGATTTAAGTATACTACATTAGTAGAACCAACAGATTTAGTAAGAAAAATAAGACAATGACAAAAGCTGACTTCACTAAGGCTTTAATGGCTATTTTTCACTTTTGGTAAGTTTATAATTATTAATATTAGAAAAATTTCTGAGCTAAAGTTTTCATTGTTTTGTTTTCTTTGTTGATAGCTATAGAAAGTCATAATTCTAAAAGATTATCATTAAAGTAAAACTCTGTACAAAAAGAAGTGGCCCTTATCCATTGCAAGTTTATCAAGTTTTTAACCTAATCTCATTAAATGCTATGTTAAAATAATTAAAACATAAAAATAAAAGATAAAAAATAAATGACAAGATGCTGGGCCACCAAAATAAGTCAAGAGGGTATACTGGTAACAGACTGCCAAACTTTTAAAAGATAGTATTACCTTTGAATCAGCTTTCTCCAACAGGGGCATATAAAATGAAAATAGTATAATCAAGAGCCAACTTATACAGACAGAATAACCATTTTTATTAGTTATATTTCCATTTTTACAGACAGAATATATCTACTATATTTAGCATGTTATAGATATCAAAATACTTTTTTGTATTTTATGTAGTCTATTTTGTATAGTTATAAAAATTATAAATAAAGTTCTTAGCAATAATTGATAATTTTAAGCTACTATAAAGTTAGAAAAAAGAAAAGATACTAGTATTCATGATTCTTATTTCTTATTAAAAGTTATTTCAACTGAAATATTAATACATATAAAAAAGTATAATATTATTTTAAATTTTTGTGTGTCAGAAATTGAAAAGAAATGACCATAGGTTATATTACAGTTAATTTTCTCTATTTAATAAGATACTTAGTCAATAGAAAGGTGCTTTTCATTTCATCCAATTATTAAAAATGAATTATTTTATTAAATATAGTATCATGTATATAATTGCACATTTATTGGAAATTATAAAAAGCATGTTTTGAAATTATTCATTTTCAAAGAAATTAATTCAAATCTTAACTCATTTAATCATAGCCCTTCTGGACATCCACCAAGAAAAATGCCAATGCTTCATATTCCACTAAGTTTACTACTGTACATATGCTAAATACCAAATGAAAATATATGCCTCAGAAGTAGAGTTTGTTCTATAAACTACTCAATGGATATTATTCTACTCATGTTTTGTAATGAACTTATTCTTCAAGTATAAAAGGTTTTAATAATTCTTTTTAAACATTCCAGCAACTAAGAATTTCTTTTCTATAATACTGAGTAGATATAATCCTTAGAAAATAAAATGATAGGATATTTATTTATAAAGAAAAATTATAAACTGATTCTGGTGCTTACAAATTTAGCTTAACATATCAGAATATTTTCAATCACTCTAAAATGTCACATCCATCACTTAGATCAGCTGTTCATTTTTAACTGAGTACATGTTAAACTCTGGGCATCTGCTGACACTGGTGTAACTCAAACATTTCAACTGTCTCCCTGACAGGGATAACAGATGCTGACATTATCAAATGCTGTACTATTTTTTTCCCATGGTCTCTCCTTGCCCCGATATGGCCAGTATATGAAACTGAACTGCCATCCAAAAGCACACTTGAGCAACTGGATCTGCTAAATGGCTCCCATATAACTACTAAAATTAGAAGCCAGTGTTATTGCTATCTTCAGCACTTAAGTTCAGGCCATTTAACACCTGTTTCACAAATAAATGATAGAAAGAACTGTAGTGACATTAATTTCACCAGCAGCATGATACTTAAGAACCAACAGATGCAGAATACCCTTCAGAATTGTTTGAATGTTGCCCAAGATAGTGTTGACCTTCTCCCACTTCAGTTCAAAACAGTTAACTATAAAAAATTTTTACTCTCTATATTTCATTGAGTCTTATTTTATAGACATTATTTTATAATTTACCAGAGTTGTATTTTATGCAAGTTTCAACACTAAAACCATGTTATAACAAATTTAATGTACTGATTTCAAAGTTTACATCGTAGATTTTTTTTATTTCAAGTTCTATAAACAGTTTAATGAGTGAATAAATTTGGTACACTAAAGCCCCAGACAGCAGCACAGCAGCATGTGTTCAACAGAATACATGGTACATTTTAATACTCAAAATTCATGGATTGTAGCTACAATCAATGTTGATAATAAGAAGTTAACTAGGCAATCTACTCAAAATGATGAAGAATTTAGTCAAGGAAATAATCATTAAAAGAGTTAAATTACCGACCCATTATTAGCAACCCTACATAAGCAAAACCAAAGTAAAATGAGTTGGCATGCGCAGCAGTTCCTCCCACCACCAAGTCCAAGCAATACACTGAATTCATGTGTGATCTATTTATAAACCAAAGAGCACGGATTTTCCTAAGGCCACTCATATTCCTCCACCCCATCACCAACTTGCTACTAATCTTCAACTATACTACTAAAAAAAGCAGTGGCAGTAGAAATGTTTGACTAACATTACTCTTCCCCAACTTTTAGTTTAACCAAAGAATATGGTTAAATGCCTAGAGATAAGTAGAAAACATTACTCTAAAGTATATCCAGGTCTATTTGTTCTTTTAAATATTGCTGGTTTTGAAGGAAGTTACTGCTTACAGTTAAGAATTAAGCAAAGCTGTTAAAACAAAGATGTACAATGATAATTCCTTAATGCATTAAAAATGTGTTAAAAGGAAGAAATTTCCAAATTTTAAGAATAGGATATAGTAGGAAACGTTGCCTTCAAAATAGAAAATTTTATTTTCAATGACTAAAGCATTGACAGGAAACTTTTAACACTTGTAGATGGCCCATAACTATTATTTTTATAAATGAAAAGCATTTAACTGTTTTGGATCCCAAACTGGCAGCACTACAATGCTTTGCTAAAGCTGGTAAAATGGAACCAAATCGCCTCTTCAATGGATTTGGTCCCCTTCAACCAGCTGTAGCTATGCATTGATTACTACAGGAGAGACGACGGATCACTCATGAATATCAGTTACCTGTCAACTAATTTCACCTTAAGCTATTCATACTGTGGATAAAATAAAATAAATTGTTAACTGTTAATTCTACTTGAAAAGACTATAGTAAAGATGTTTATAAAAAGCTTTATGAAAAATGTGCAAATGACTTGGATTCAAATAAAATAATTTTACTTAATTATGGTCTCTTGGTATTAAATTTCTTATTCTTCAGACAAGATATAATAATGCAAACTATGCTTCATTATAAAAATTAAAAACTTCTTTTAAAGGAAGGAAATATCTGGGAAGTTCACCTGAAAATATCATTAGAATGCCAATACATATTACTGACCCATGATTCACATGGACACGGATATATTTTAAATTAAAGAAAACTATAAATAAAGTAACACCCCAGAATGTTGAGTCACTATCTTTCACAGGATTAGCCTTTAATTTCACCATTTTATATGAATGTTAGCAGAAAGTGAAAGGGAGAGAAAACGTAGGATATTTTAAGGAGACTTAAGCAAATAAGCATATAGTTCTTCTGACCCTGAATCATAAAGATCTGTGATGTTCAAAAAAGAAAATGCTAAGTATTGCTACTTTTAACTCATAAAGTTATTTCAATTCTCCATAATTGTTTCCTCAGTTGTAAAATGAAGTTCTCTACTAATAAAACATTTTTAAGTATTTTTTTAGTTGTACATGGACACAATACCTTATTTTGTTTATTTTTATGTGGTGCTGAAGATTGAACCCAGTGCCTCATAAGTGCTAGGTGAGCACTCTACCACTAAGCCACAACCCCAGCCCTAATAAAACATTTTGTTACTTTTCAGTCTTCTTTGTCCTTTATAAAAAAAAAAAAAAAATTACACACACACACACACACACACACACACACGTCTATGTCTCAGTGGAGAAAAACTAAAGGGAAAAATGACAAGTGATCCAACATCCACCTAATTTTCTTAATAAGTTCAGTTAATTTAATGTTCTTTAATAAAGAAAGAAACATTTCAACAACTAACGGATATTACTAAAGGCAGGCAACAGTAATTAGAAAACCCAAATGTTCACATAATCCTCAAATCCTGACCCCTCCTCTATTTCAAAGTGAAAACTTGTCCCTAAAAGAAAGTGGGCAAAGAAAGGTATATATAAATATATATCATCACTGTGTTCAAGCTAACAGAACTTCATGCTTACATTAATTATATCTCAGTCACATTATTTATAAGCATTTATTAAAAGAAATCTGTTTGAGAGTAGATGCATGATAACACATTAGAGAAAAGGGACACACTATAAGTATTCAATTATGCAATAGATTTTCAGCTATTTTTTGTACAGCCCTCAGCTGTTTAGAATTTAGAATTATAAAGAAAAGAAAAGCATTAAACACCAAGACAGGTCTTCTTCAGATTATCAAATCTTCCTATATTCAATATAGTATCATTTACCATTAAGACTGTATTTTGAAATTGATAAACTTAAATAAAGCTATCATAATGTTCTAGAGGGAAAACTCACACACTCAATATGATTTATCATGCCTCTTTGTGGGTATAAATAAATGAGCAAATGAAAACTGTCTATGAAGGTATCATAGAACAAAACTGAAAAGAAGTATATCATATTACACAGTAACATGTATTGTTACTTTTAACATTCAATTTATATTTTAAAAATTATATATAAAATATCTGTATAATGGTATCAGTTCCCGCCAAATACTTATTATTTTTGCCAGCTCTGCAGAGAAAACTACTATTTTCATGCCTGTAAGGGAACTCTGCAAACTTAAAGGCAGCTAAAATACAGTATCCTAACAGAGAGTACCTAAGTAACATGCTGATTCATAATTCAAAGAAATTTAGTTTTCATTGTTGTCAGCAGAAATAATTTCTGCTCTTGATTTAAATCAGAAATGTATGGAAAAATAAAAACAACAGAAACAGAAGATAAGACAACTGAACTGCAGGGAAAAACTTCTCTATAAATATCAAATATGGGGCTGGGGATATAAGTCAGCAATAGAGCACATGCCTGGCAAGCAGGAGGCCCTGAGTTCAATCCCCAGCACCACCAAAAAAATGTTTTTAAATAAATAAATGCCACATATCAGAATTCATAAACAGTATTGTTGATAGTTAAAATTTCTAAAAAACTATATTAAAACATATAACTGCTATTCTAAAATGGAGCAAATGACCAAATTATAAATGGAGCAAATGACCAAATTTAT